TCTTACGAACTGCAGTGGTTAGTGCCCTATCCAGACAGCTCCATGGAGATTTTTTGGGCATTCTGCTTTCAACAGCTTCTCTATGTGAAGAAACCTGCATTCAGGAGATGAATTCGATTTTCACCAGTTTTTTGCTGTTCCTTTGTATGGCTTCTCATTTATTTTAGTTTAGGATTTTCTGTATTAACCTTCTGCTTTTTCTGCAGCCTAATAAGTAAAGTATGTTGCAGGTCAGGGAAATGAGATTTTGAAATAATTGTTTTATGAACGTTTTCTGAGGAGCGGTCCATGTATCTGCAGGAGAAAAAGTGATGATGTACTCTCAGTGCTGCAGAAGGAATCAATCTCCTGCTTAAGTTCCTCTTGGTCTGTATAGTCTGGAGTTCTGTGGCAAGCTTCACTCCTTGTTTGGACAGAGGGGGGGAAATGAGACAGTGCTCTCCTACATATCCTACATAGGTCTCTCACAGCTGAGCATCACTACTGTCTTCTCCAAGTGTGTTGCCAATCTGATGTTAAAGAGTGTGGGTTGGTTGACAGTTTTTTCAAGATCTACTGTCCAACTTGAAATATCAACAGTTTTGAGTAGACCAGAACTGGGGGCACAGAGGGTAGTCTTAACACTTTTGGATCTGTAAATAAAGGACTAAAAATGACTGCAAAAATACTTAGCTTTATCTTGAATTTAGAGTGTATTTTTCCCCAAAAAGATGGAACTAAATCAGGGAGTCAGAGAGTTTGTGTTCCTCTGCTGTCAGCAGTAACTTGAAACCTGCTGGCAAAGTGTATATTTTATCTGCTGCTGGGGCATATGAAGACAACTGCTACTACCACTGTTGCTAATGGCTCAAGGTTGAGCCATGGGTGTTTGTGTTATGAGTGTTTTAAAAGTCTGAAATCTACTGTCAAAATTTCTGGGCAATGGTATACCATTCCTCTTCTTCCTTGAATCATAGGAAAACCATCCTTGAATTTCAAAACAAACTACTATGTAGTGCCAGAGGTAGAACTGACATGTCCTGCTTTCTTGAAATTGGAATTTTGACTTTTGTTAGCCAATACTATAAAGATATGAAAGTATGTATGTATTCATTTTAATCCACATTGTCTGTGCTTAAGCATTCATTTTAAGTACATTTGCATTTCTAAGTTTGGAGTCTTCCTGTAATTTCATGGTATTCCAGACTATTTTGTGTTTAAGATAGTCTGCAGTAGAAGTGAATGCTTATTTAGATTGGTGTGTACTGCAGGACAGCTGTAATACCCTAAATAACAAATACTGATGTGGTAACTTTTGCACAGGAAGAGGTATTTGTGAAAAAGCTTTAGAAATTTTGCTAACTTGTGGATGTATACAGGAAACTAAAGGAAATATGAACTCAGATGTTAGCAGAAATGCAAGTTTTGGATAAATTTTAGAAATGAGTGCTAATATAGAATATATTAAATAAGTGCTGACTTGGCTGTATTCTGTTGTTGCAACTTCTGTTTTAATGTTGTGGGTTCGTGATACATAACTTAGTCCCGACTGATTATGGTTTAAATCAACATTATGGCACCTAAGTGTGATTGGTCTCTTCAGAAGTGAGAAACTGAACCCTTGCTAGCGACTTTATGCAATTTTGTTCTTTAGTATTTAGGGAAACTTTTCAGACTAATATCCCTGTTTCCATTATAATAAGAGATCATAAAGTCGTGCGAGCTGGAATTCACAATTGCAAACTGAATATTCAGGCAGCTGATTTTAACATGATGCACATGGGCCTTTGAAAATGAAATTGTGGCCTTGAACTGGGCTTTCTGTGAGTAAAAAATGTAATATTGCAAAATGTGTAATCTCTGAGTGGTGAGGGAAATGACTTGTGAAGAAATGCTTAGTAAACTCAACATATTTAGCCTAGATAACAAGGAGACTACAATATGCACTTCAATGGTATTTTGTGGCAGTAGCTAAAATCATATGCAGAAAGTTTGGAATGCATTCCTTAGATATGAATTAGAAATAAGATTAGGATAACTTTTGATTAGATAACAGAAGGGGACTCATCCAGCACTTGCAAAGTGTTTGATTTTGGTGTTAAGCTAGGCTGTTGGCCTGCAGAGTGCAAGGTTTGAGCACTTTGGAGAGTTGTCTGGCTTTGTAGCTGGAGTCTGGCTGGAGGCTGTTCAGCAGTCAGTGTGCTCATGGTCTGCTGGAAGAGAGGCAGTTCCTTGAATCTCTTTACCACGGATCTCCACTGTCATCCTCACGTATGAAACAAAAGCAGCAGCAGGGCTTGCAGAGTGAATAACAGACAGTGCCTTTTGAATCTTTCAAAAGCCTGATGTAATGATTAGATTTTAATTATTTTTTATACTATAGTGCTGTTAAACCAGTGGTTGGTGGGATTTGTGACAATGAGTTGTGGGATGGTGTTGAGGAGAGAAAAGTCTTTTCTAATTTCTTGTTCCTTAGTAAGGTCGGGTCAACTGGTGTGTTCTGATTAGTCTACAGTGGTGTCTGTTGTAAAGAAAGCTTGAAGGTGCTGGGATCCCTGCCTTGGTGAGCTGGAAAACTTTACACCCCCACACCCACAGTTTCTTATCATGTGCACCCAAGCTCTGCCCTGCATTTGCTCCCTACTAGGGAGGGGCAGAAATGCTCTTGGCTCTTCACGGGAAGGGAAAGCAGAGGAGCCTTGCACAGCAGGTTATTCTGTCTGTAATGTAGAACAGTGAGAGTTTTTAAAAGGCAAATAGAATAGCTTGTAATGTAAGTTTTCTTTTAAATGTTGTTTAAGAGATGGGGAGGTAAGTGGCTGGGAACAACATAGGAGATCTCCTCTTAGCTCTCAGCACCCTATGGGTTGAACTTCTGACAGAAAATGGACTGCAGTATTTGTCAATAAGCAGAAACAGGGTATGGACAGCAACTGACCTGTACACAGTCCTTCAGATGTATATCCATAGTGCCTCCAAGGGCAGGATATGATTGTGTCTTAGTGATGTTTTCAGGAATTTCCAGGATACGTAACGTGTGTGAAAGAGTAGCAACAGGGAAACAGCAGTGAACAGTATTGAGACTTAAAGCAGGCTGGTGGATGGGTGGAACGGTCAGTACAGGAAGAATGTAGAGCAGAATGTGTTTGGAGATAATGTCCCTCTTGTGAGCTGTGTTCCATGGCTTTGGGCTTTATTTTAGTGCATCTCTCAAGTTGCATGCAACATTATTACTCTTCACCTAAAGTTATTTTTTAACTACTAGGAAAGACAGCATTTGTACAGCTCTTTTAATATTTAACAATGCACTTCTTTTCCCCTAAAAATTTTTAAAATATTTAGGCTACTGTAGTTTCTTTATGTTGTGGATATGATTCATTTTGGCCATGGGAGGAGAATGACAGTTATTTGCTACACAAACCTTTCCTGTGATTCATGGAGTGTCTTTTGTGTCAGCCTTGAAGGAGGCACTTCATATGCTTCCTAGCAGGAAGGAAAAATTGTATGATCATAGTTACCAGATAGGACATGGAAACGGGGTGGGAGGGAAGGGAAAGGGGAGAGGGAGATGCTGATTATTCAGAAGAAAGTTGCAGGAATGCCAAGATTCTGTCTGCAGTATCCATTCATCTACTTAATGAAAAATGGATACATACCAAGCCTAATTAAGGGAAACATCATGACTGTAATTGCCATGTTCACAAAATAGCATAGCTCATTATGTAACTTCTTTTGTGTAAATATATCTTAGCACTTTTCCTTTGTCTCCTTGATCCATCACTGTTTCAATATGGTGTGATGTTTCTGTCTCTGAGGGATGTGTTTTAGATTTTGCTCCCAAACTGATGGCCCTATATAATTGTGTCAGCTTTCTGCAGAGACAGATTTTTGTGTTCTAACATAATAATATAGTTAGCAACTTAAGCAATGTGCCAGCTTGCCAGATCAGAAGATATTTTCCTTTCTTCACAAAAGAAAGGAATTAAAAAAGCTGTACTAGAGTTTTCTTCCTAAAAGTAGCAGCACAGATTGGCTACTGAAGTGCTTTTAAAGAATGCTCCATCAAATGACAACCCCTAATGTTTCATGGCAGTCTTTGGGGCTCTTTCACAGAGTCTAGCTGCTTCCAGCTGCTTTCTCTATACCTGGAAACTGCAGGGTAGGAATAAATGGGAGTAGCAGAAGTGGAAGCAGAGCTTTCCTAACTTCCTGATTTCCTGCATGGATTCAGGGCTTGTGGCTGGCTGTCCTCCCGCAGTTGGCAGCGTTTGGTGTGGTACATGCAGCTGTGTCAGGAATATACAGCTGTGGCTCTTCAGCTTTGTAGCGTCTATAGAGGGTCCTTATCTAAGCAGATGCACAGCAGCGTTAGAGTAGGAAAGCAGAGATGTAGTCAGAGATGAAAGGAGTGGAATTAAGAGGAATGCAGGGGAGAATAAAAGTGGATATGAATTACTAATCACCTGACCTGTGTTAATTGATTTCCCCATGTAATTAGAATTTTACTGCTTGAGTCACCAGTGATATCCATTCTACCATTATTTCCTGTGTTATAAAATGCTGGCTTTGTTTTGATTTTCCTGTAGCTGTGTTTATTGGGGATAAGGGGTCTAATTATAGCTGTGAACTATACTGTACTGAAAGGGCATTTAAGTTTCTTCTTACTATTTCTGAGGCAATGTGATGAGTCATGAAGTATAACTTTTGCAGAAAATATCCTGATTGCCTAATGACTAGGTGTTGGTAGATGAAATTACACATACCCTCTCTTGTTCACATGAAACCAGGGAAGTGTCTTTCTGACTAAGCTGTTTGTTCAAGTTACCCAAGAAATGTCAAAGATTACAGTTGCAAAATGAGGAAAAAAAAGTATATTTTTGAGTAGCTTCAAAACACCTGCTGAGACTTACAAATGCGCTAGATATTCACAGCATGAATATTTGTAAATAATTTCTAAAGAAAATATGCTGCCTGAAAAGAATACAATTGATGACCCATGTTCCGCATATTTTATTTTGCAGATGATGAAGAAGATATCAACAATATGGAAAAAGTCATGTTAGAATATGCTAAAATGGACAGAGAACTTAATCATTATATAAAAGCATTTGAAGAAACCATAAATCAGGTAAATTATCTCTTCTCATTAAGTTATGAAAACATACCCTTATTTAAATATTATCTTTTAAAAGAAACAAATGTTACATTTAAACAATACACAATTGAAAAGGCAGCTCTTCGGCAGGTGTAAAATTATAAAATAGTGAGGTTGCCAGTACAACTCTTAGTTTTTTTCCCATCTTGCTACAGAGTGGCAGAGTTTTTAACTTCTCCCCACCAAACTCGCACCCTTGGGAATATGGGAATATGCTTTGAGGATGATTGAGGAGCCTGTAGTTAAGACACCCTATTCTCAGATGATACCATCTCATGGACTGTGGAAGATGGAAGTGCAGATGAGTGAGGCAGCTGATTTGAGAGCAAACTAATGGCTAATGCAGCTGTGGCTCCAGAGAACTGATGCTTTACAGCCTGCTTGCCACTGCCTTCCTGCCACCTGCCCTGGCTGGTCCGTGTAAAGGGTGAGCTGGCGGGGTGCTCGCTCTATGAACCACGGCCTCGCTCTGCCCCTGGACGAAGGACGGACACAGGACGGACAAAGGACCGACAGACACCGGGCGCGGAGGCGGCCCTGGCAGTGACCGCCAGGGGGCGGCGCCTCCGCGCGTTCCCGTCCCGGGCTCTGCACGTTCTCGTCCCGGGCTCTGCGCGTTCCCGTCCCGGGCTCTGCACGTTCTCGTCCCGGGCTCTGCGCGTTCCCGTCCCGTGCTCTGCGCGTTCCCGTCCCGGGCTCTGCGCGTTCCCGTCCCGGGCTCTGCGCGTTCCCGTCCCGGGCTCTGCGCGTTCCCGTCCCGGGCTCTGCGCGTTCTCGTCCCGGGCCCTGCGGGAGCGAGCGGCGGCTCCGCGGCAGAGCCGGGCCGGGAAGGGGCAGCTCCAGCTCCCGGGTGGCCGAACATCAATTTCAGGGCACGTCGTGCCGGAGAACTCAATTTGCCGAGGGGCTGTTCTAGTGTGTGTCTGCACAGAGACTTCTCGCGTCGGTTTTCTATGGATTTCTTTAGAAAAGGCAAAAGCACATCCCTGATTTCCCTTCAAGGTGGGAAATCTGTGTTTCAAAATGTTAAGGTAGTAGCGCTTTTCAATTAATCCTGCCTTGCTATTGCTTTTTGTTCTTTTAAAACCAGTAAAAGCAGAGCAAAGCCATACATTTCCCACTAGTTCTGTTGAGATGCCTATACGGTTTTTCCATTGCAGAAAGGTTTTTAAAAATCATCTGATCATGTGCTTAACTGAAAAATCTTCATTCAGATAATTAAATATACATGTTTAAAAGTAGTTCAAAACTATGTCTGCATCAGCAAGTGTTGGACAGCAGTAAATACAAGCACTTTCCCCATGTAGTCTTTAAATATACATTTCACTTCAGATTTCAGTGTAATTGCAAACCTCCTAGTTTATATTGGATGGTTCAGAACTTTTTCCTTTTATTTGGACCATTCATGATTTTTAAAACTTTATAGTAAATTGTAACACAGTCCTCACTGTCAGAGACTAATGTATATCCAGACTTGAGCAAAGCATAGTTGGTTTATATTTCGATTATAAGCCAATTAATAATTGATGACTTATTGTTATAATAGGAATTTCAAGTAACTTTCAGCAACAACTTTTTAACTACTTTCATTATTTCCATTTATCAGCAAAACACATTTTTTTCAAGTTTAGGACTATAAAGAGCAAGTCTGCCTTCACCAACAAAGCACTCAAGTCCTGTTTACTTCAGATGCATCACTGATGATGTTTTAAGTTGAGCACGGGTGTACCTGCTTTACTGAAGAGAAGGTATTTTTGTTGGTTTTGGCAGAGCAGTGATACATTTGTGATTTTTAGGATTGAATTCAGCAGTATCTGTTGTGTGCTTATCTGTGCTGGTGTGCAAAAAATACACCTGGAAGGGTTGGTTTTCATTTTCCCCCTTTTTTGTCTAATGCAGCTTCTTTGTGTTGTTAAAACAAGCTCATTTCCTGTTATTTTAGTGCTAAGGTTTTAAAAATGCAGCTCCAAGATATCTAACATGTTTTCGAGTCTACATGGATTATAAATTTGGTAATGGCTAATCTGTTAGTCTCTAGCTGCACTCCTCCTGTCTCTGCTTCCTACTTCACTCTAGGGAATTGTCTGTACTTTCCCCTGCCAGCATCCTGAACAAACCTTTGTGAGTATGAGAAAGAAATGTATATAACTTCTGCCGTAGAACAGAGTTACAGTCTGTTCTCTGAAAAATAACAGCTCATGCTTTATTTTGGAGGCCAGCTGCCTGCCATGCCTCTGGAACTGCACTGCCCATCTCCAGTTACCTGTCAGAGACAGCTTAAAATCTGCTTCTGGGAAACAGATACTGTTGCTGAATTTAGGGCTGCACCTGGAAGTAGCTGTAGAATGGCTTGGGTTTAAAATAGCCTCCACTGACTTGCTCCCTGATTCCATCTGAATTCCTTACCTGAGGGCTTTCTCTGGGGAGTTGCAGCAGGTCATTAATTTTCACAAGCAGACTGTTCTTCATAGACAGGATTTGTCTCCAGTTATAAAACACATTGTGTCTGATTATTTTATAAGTTTTTATCTTGTTGATTTTTCTGGTCTGTAGTTTCCTCATACAGAAGTGAATCTGAAAGTATATTATAGTCTGTGTTTCACCTTTTAACCAGCTGTTTCTAGTGAAATGTCCAACTGGAATTTAGCAAGATAAGGAGTCAGCAGCAGTTAAAATTCCTGATATATTATTTTGTGTACCTTTAAGTGGCATTGACAAAAAAAGATGGTATTGTAAAACCAAAGGATTGTAATGTAAATAACTTGAAACTAGCATGAGATATAGTCACATGTTTTCTCAAAGCCAGTTTTTTTTGTTGATTTAGGCTGCAGTAGGTGGAATGCAGAAGGTGAGACATACCAGCATCCTCTTCTGGTTGAATCAGCAGCCTGTTGAGCAAGAAGTGAGCAATTGAATCACAGTGTTTCCAACAATAGGCTGTGGGAAATCCTTTGTCTGTGGAAACTCCCTGTGCCACTAGATTTTCTTGTACCTGTGTAATGACTGGACTTCTGCTGCTTCTTCTTTCATTTTATGTTGGTATTTTTAAAAGAAATTTGCTAATATTCAGGTCCTTACCATGGAAAGTGCAGGCAGCACTCTTATTTTTAGTGTAACAACAAAAGACTGATGGAGCTGCAGCATCTCTTGCAGAATTTTTTTATACTCTTGAAACGGACCCAAATGATGGGAACCCCGGCTCAGGTGTTCCCCACTCTGACAGAATTCTCAAATGGCCAGAATTCCAGCATACTATGTTGTCCCAAATACGGATTCTTTCACCCAGTGTGCAGGAAGGCAATCTACACACAGAGTCAAGATACTTGATTTTATTTCATGTCTCTGCAGAGAACAGGTTCTAGGTGGTGAATCCATAAAGCTAATGTCTTCGGTATGCCAGGTGCTCATTTTTATACACTGTGAACAACAAAAAAATTGGCATTTCCTATATATGTAACAACCTCACTGTGTAGTCATTGGCTTTGCATTCTCTTGTCTGCATGTAAGACCCAGTGCACATTTGTTTTATTGTGCACGCTCTGAGGAAGTGGCTTTTATGAGCAGGGGATGGTCATAGCCTATGGACAGGCATTTTACTGAATTTACTTAATGAGCACAACCTTCAAGCAAAGTTGTACTTGGCATCGTAGTTGGATTTTTTGTGTCCTCTGTTCTTGCTTCTTGGATCATGGCTCTTGGTTCCTGCAGGTTTAGTTTTCCTATACTGTCTCATGGTACTTAATTTCAGCAATTGTGCCTGCTCCCTTCCACTCTGCTCTCTGGATTAGCAGGGATGGTGGTGGTAGACTGATCACTCTCAGCTTTTCAAGCATTTGGTTTCTTCAGGACTGTAAAAGCTGGGGTAAATTTTCTGAAGTCCCCAGACTTCTCTAGATAAAATGAATTACAGTGTATTATAGATCAAACTAGAGAACAAAGAAGACAAACCTAACTTCTAAAGTTACATTATTCCCACCTCTCTTTTCTTCTCCTTTACGGAAAGAGACTGGTTGAAAGAGTGCTAAGAAAGATGTGGTGTTGAGCTGAAGAAAAGATGGAAATATTACATGTTGCATTGGTGCTTGGGTTTTATCCCTACTTCTGCTAGAGCTTTCCCACATTGTTCTTGATGAATCATATCTGTCACTGTGTCAGTGGTTGCTGACATCTTTGTTTTCTGATCCTGCATGGAAACTGGTTTGAACAATTATAATTGTGATTTAATTCAAAGTTAATTAAAGTTTGAACCCAGGAAGTGAAATTAAAATGTTATTTGTTGGGATTTATCTGTAAAACTACATACAATTGATGTAAGTATGTCTTGAGGATTTGAAGTCTGGATGTCATTTATGCCTGTGTGACTTCACACCTTGTTAAGTGTTCATTCTTCCTTTGCAAAGATGAGCAGTGCATCGTCTTCCTTGTACAAGAGTGATTTTGTCTCTACAGGATATATAGGAACTACTCTTAAAACTGTTTCATATTTTTGATAGTAGTTCTTCCCTTTGGACTAGTAAGGTCATTGGAGTGTGAGTAGGAGGGGATGTTTGTTTGCTGGGTCAGTAATTTAGAGCAGATTACTTAGCACTGAGGTCTGTTATCTTAGTGGAAAACTGTGCAGGTTGTAATCCTGCAGAGGGATAATTCCCTTCAGTAATGTAGGTCGTATTTCAAGTGTCCAGCTTGTGAGTGATCTAACAGCCTCTGCAGAAAAGTAAAGAATCCTGTTTAAAACTGCTGGACAGTTAAATCCATGGCCTCTGATTTGCAACGTGTATAGCAGAATTCTAGTTTCCTCACTTAAAACTCATAGTATAATGCTGTAGTGACTGGTATGTCTTCCTTGGTTTCATAAAAATGAAAGGGACTTAACATCTTTGTTAACCAGCATCTGCCAGCTTAACTTTATAGGCCAGGAATTGTACTGGGGAAGGTTCTTCCAATATGTCCAAGTTGTCTCTTTTGACAATGCAAACTGAAGCAACAAAACACTTCTGCAGTGGTAGCTCCAGTTGCAGTGTGCTCTTTGAAGGAACAGCAAGGTCAAGCAGAGGATGTGATTCCAGCCAGCTCCCACCTTCATTGGCTCAGCTATGGCAGCAGAACTAATGTAACAACCAAGTTCAGTGTATGTGGCAAGTGCCAGCAGGGTCATCAGTGACTGCTGTTGCCAGTTAGACACAGGGCTGTACTTAAAAATCAGATTTTTAGTTTTCTGTAGAGATAAGTACCAGTAAGACTGTGAATCCCAAGGGATTCATGTGTTTTAGCTGAATCAGGGCTCTCTGACAGTGACTGGCACTGTGACACCCATTACAGTGTTGTCAGTGAAGCAATTTTTGACATGGAACTTTCTAGTTTCATGGAACAAACAGCCTTGTTTAGTGCTGACAGTTTCTTAATAAGCACTTTGCTCTTCTTTTTTCCTCTTGCTACACTGTCATGAGAACATGTTTTAGGGCAAAATCCACTGATGATATCCATATCTGCAACTGTGACCTTCACTCTACAACTGAGCTCAGAGCATTTCCTCTGACATCAGTGTTTCTTGATTCTGAAATATTGCTGCTAGCCATGAAAATTTTGGGACCTTCTTTTTATCAAAAAGGTCCTCTGTCCCACAGAATTTTCTCAGGAAGGTCTTTGTGAAGCACCAGAAAAATGGGTTTAGTGGAATGGATATATCTTTTCTTGGGCTGGCAGGGAGAATAAAAGAACTCTTATAGTCTTTTGCTGCATTTATCCTGACTCTCTAATTGTAAAAGCAAGTGATTCTATCTTGAAATTCACTCAGAGCATACTGAAGAGCACCATCAGCAGCAATAAGTCAAAACCCTGGTGAAAGATGTACCAGTGACAACGTCTTTGGAGATTTTTGGAGAACTTGCTTAATCTTTGGAGGTGTTTTTAACAATGGATGTCCTCTTGCCGTTATTTTGGTACCTTGAATTCTAATTGGAATTCCTCTTTAGTGCTTGTTTACTTGCTATCTATTAATGAAGCCACTTCAGATTGATCATTCATCTTACAGAATAAGCAAAATTTAGACATTGGATTAAATCCTTATAATAACTTGGGCAGGATAGTAGAAGAAGATAATATGTGACTCCTTAATTATGTCTCTGCATCTATCTCTAAATATAATGCCACAGGACTTATTAAAACTTGTACAGGCAAGCTTATTTCTAGCATTAGATGGCTATGGAGTTTTTTAACATTTTAATGCTTTTTCAGTATAACATCTTTGATAGAATTTCTGATCAATAGTGTATTTCTTGGTCTGTCCTATTTCCATCTCCAAACAGTAATTCAAATAATGCAGCACTGTTGTAGGCATGTACTCTGCTTCCTGCAGAAACTGGGACAGAGATGCATTTAAACACGTTTCTAATATTTACTTTATACTATTTGCTTTACTTTTTTGTGTGTCTCTGTATGTGTTGGACTAAGCATTTGATGGAAGCTGCTTTTTTATTTTCCAAGAATTAGTGACCTGTGTGTGTAGTTCTCAACAGTGTCAACATTTGGTGAGCTGCAATTAAAATATTTTTTAGTGAGCAGCATATAAAGAAGTAGGAGTAGTGTTTTATTTTATGTGGGTTATATAGCAATCCTCAGTAGCGTGTCTTAGTGTCTCCTAGCAAGCACAGAAATGTATCCTGCTTTTTGGAGAGTAAACCCTGGAAACTCTTGCATATGGACATAGGTTTGTTTGAATTCACTGTGGTTGCTTACATTGGTCAAGCTAAACATTTCCCTAAATATTTGCAGTGTCAACATGGTAGTTGCTGAAATGGCCCTTGGCTTGTGTGGTTAGAAGTGGGGCAGAAGAGGCCACAGCTGGTTTGCAGTGAAAATTTGGGTGAAAAGAAATGTTCTGGACCTACAGCCATCACATGGATCTGGGACCTCTGTAGATATGGTGGCAGCAGGGGTAGTATTAAGAACAAATGTGCCAAAGAAGTCCTGGAAACCACATAGTAATTTGAAAAGTGTATTTGCTATGTTGGGCAGCAGTGCTGCCCAGTAGGTAGCAAACTAGCCTGAGATTAAGGAGGACTGGATTCTATTTTCAGGTCTACTAGCAGCTTGTGTGGTTGACCTTGACAAATTGTTTCACTCTGTTCTTTGGGCTGTGGTCCTGTGTTCTCTAATGCTGCATTTACGCAGTACCAAATCACCTGGTAGCACATTCTCATCAAGTATACCAGATCACATGATACTGTTTATGCTGGCTGTATTCTGGCTGCAGGACAGACACTACCTGATGGAGCATAACTGTGCAAAATTAGAATTGGCAGAGTGGGTTACACTCAGTCGGTGTGTCATGCAGCTGTGGTGGTTTTGATCTCATATGAGACATCCCGAAACTGAATTTACCGTCTCACTCAACCACGATCTTAGTCATGTGGACAGCATCCCATATCACTGTCTGTAAAGAGATTTATTTTCTTTTCTACCTGAAGGATTCAAAGCTATTTGAATTCAGTTTTTAATGATTTTATTTTAACACTGAAGATTGCAACTGGCAGTCTGAACATTTTCTGAAATTACAGAAGGTCACACATAGTACAACTAAGAGTCTCTGTGATTTGTATCCCTGCTTTTCTAGGCAGTCTGCATTTCAGAGTCAATGTGAGTTAACTCTCTCTGGTTTAGCCTAGCCTAGAGAAAGAAGATAAAATTTTGAGATGTAATGAAACTCGTAGGTGTTGAGGTCAAATAGCCAGATTAAAAAGCCATCTTAATCTCAAATAATAGATTTTTTTTTAAATGAAATTTATTACTGGAAGCACTGGCATAATTTTAGCAGCTCAGTAGTGAAAATAGTATTTCAAATGAATAGTCTCATCTAGAAAGCTCCTGCTGACAGTCCTAGGATTTAAACCCTTGGAGCCAGGGGGTGAAGGTTGAGTGCTAAATCCTGGATGATTCTCAGCAGCAGGAGTTTTTACTTTAAATTAGTTTCTCTTGTTAATTGAACACACCCAAGCTGATCAGTGGGGAGGCAGTTTCTGGAATGCCTTCCATAAAATGTCTCCCTCCAAAGGTTGAGTGTTGTTTTAATTACTGTAATTGTTTCCAGAAATTATATGTATATGTTGGATACTGTAATATTCCTTCTCCAAGATTTTAAATGTTAAGTCACTCGTTTAAAAACATTTACTTTTTCTCCTCGTATATTTTTAACTGGTTTTATCAATAAAAATACTCAGTTACCCAGATTTTTCCTCAGCAAAATTCTTAGCAGATTTATAATGAATCACAGATACAATGAGCTTACAGCATCAACTAGATCACACTTTTTTTTGGTGGCTGCTACTGCAATGAATTTGTTTTCGTTAAAGAATTTCAGCTAAGAAGAAGTTAGTGGTAGGAGTTGCTACTCTCATTCCTAGCTTCCTCATCAATTTTATTACTTGGGACTTTTTCTTGTTGAGTTATTCAATATTGGGTGTAAACAGGAGTGTGCATGCAACATATTGCACTCGTTTAGAATGGACCAAAGTCATGCTACTTTGTAGTATGGTTTCCTGTGAATGTTTCCACTTTTACAGAACTGTGTATTTGGGGCCTTTGTTAAAATGGAGAGCATTTCTTTGCTTTATTTTTTGATGCTGGGAGTTAAGAGCAGCAGCATGACTTCTTTGTGTTTGTGATGTGCTGCAGTATGTAACTATGCCCATTTCAGTGCTTAGTGGAATTAAAAAAAAAAATCTGCCTAATAGTATGTATGCATTTTATTATCTTTCCAATTTGAAGAAGAGGTTTCAAAAAATACCTGAATCCTGCCAGGAATCAATACCAGATGTCACAGTATCTCCCAAACGTGGCCCCATTGTTGATAACCTACTGTGAGTTACAGTATGCTTGATAGAAAGGGTTGACAAGTTGAGTTCATTTCTGGGCTCTCATCTTATTCATCTGAGCTACGTGCATAGCCTGAGCAAGCTGATTTAACCAGCTGAAGTATTTATTTTGTCCTTAGACTTGTGTGTTAACACTGACAGTAAATGAAAAATATTATAAAAGACTTAAGAAAATAAGTGTGTATATCAGATGTGCTCCAGACTTCCTCGTAAAGTGTAAAGTTCCCGTGTTTACAGGGTACTCACACATACCACACCTAATAAATTTTACAAAGCTAGAGAAATTAAAAGCTCAGTGATGTTGCTATTCTTAACTCTTCAAATGTTAGTGCCTCACTGCATTGCCACTGCTTCTGTGTGAGCGATTCACGATGTTTGTTCAACTGGGTACTCATCCACTGTTCAAAGCTGTTATGATGCTGTTTTTTCCCCTGCAGTCTGTTGTGTGGGGAGAAGATTGGATAGCGAGGGCTTGGATGCAGTGGTGAGTTTACAAAAGTGGCTGGGAAGATGGCAACTCTGGTGAGGGAAAACTTACAGGGTGTGGTTTTGTGGGGTGTGATAATTATTGTAATACGAAGTGTGGGCTGTAAATGAACTGTTTCTCCATGGATATTTTTATGCTTAGTTGGAGGTGATCAAGGGATGCAGGTAAAGGCTGGGCTGTGCTAAAGGCAGTTTGGTCCAGTTCAGTAAAACTGTCTTGAAAGAGGGAGTTTCTGGAGAAGCTATTAACAACCCCACTGTATGCCCTTAGTCCTCACAAACAACCCCACCTTTCCCCACTGCTCTCTGCTAAATTCCACTGACAATGAGCCATAGCCCTCACCACCGTCTCCTCTCAGTGGAATGCTGATGTTCAAATAAGTGAGAAGCTTCTCCATCTTTTCTCTTGCTTCTCCTCTGACATCCTGTTTGGGCTTTGGAATCCCTTTCTTACCTTATTTTGGCCTAACCCAGGGTTGGCTGTTGTTGGTTGGTCACCTGCCCTTGGAGAAGACTCAGCAGTGTTGCCTTTTCTCCCACTGACAGCAATGCTTTGTATGTCTTGGCAGATATAATCTGACACAGCACATGGAAATATAATTGAACAGTATCTTAGGAGAATCTGGCCCATCAGTTGCATCTGCACAGAACTAGCTCATCAATTTTGTGTGTGCCTACGAACCCTGTACAGACTAATTGAGTTTAACCTGAGTGTAGAGAGTCATCCTCCTTAATCGATCACTTAGGTTGGCAGATGCCTGGCCACCTTTGTCAGTCAGGCTTATAAACAAATACCAGACAAATCCTATCAACCAGGTTTATGTGCACAGCATAGGTCACTGTAGTTGTAATGGTTGTTACAGTTCCGTGTGAGTTTATACTTGGCCATTTCCAAGCCCCACAAAACTCAGACCCAAACTCCTTATGTTAGTTCCTCCTTATACTAGTTCTTTTCAACAGTTATTTACCTGGTAAATTTTTAATAGAAAGAGATTGTTTTACAGTAAGGGGAAAATCCAGCTAAAGCAACAAGTCCCTATACAGGATTACAGGTGTGGCTTCTGCTCAAGGAGAAACTGTCAGTTAATTCAGGTAAGAGGTGACTATAATAGCAGTGTGTAGTCATGGATGGAGCAGAAGTGTTTGTTCACCATGTGTCACATAAAGAGCAATTTAATGAAATTATCCAGCAACAGTTTTTAAATCAACAAAAGGAAGTAATTTTTTACACAGTGAATAATTACATTGTGGAATTAGTTGCCACAGGATGTTATGGAGACCAAAATCATTAATGAATTCAAAAAGCTACTGGACAAATTAATAAAAGAAAAAATCTTTGACAGCTGTTAGATGCAAAGATTCAAATACAGTCACTGTCTTGGTAAATCCCTAAACTGCAAGCTGTTAGTTGTAGGGAAAGTATGTGGTGAGAAACAGGGAAAGATCTTTTGATTTTGCGCTCATTTGATTCCTACTCCAGCTTTTTGCTTCTGCCATTGTTAAGGAGAAGAGAATATGCTGGATGGTTCTTTGATCTGAGGTACCATAACTGAAAGAAGCAGAAAAGAAGCTGCATAGAAAACCCAATCTCCACAAGCACTGCTGCACCCTGAAATTTATGTTGATTAGCTATGGAGCTTTAGATAAACACTTATTCTCTGTTTCAAACCTATTTTAGAAGATTGTCTAAAAGCTACTTTCCACCTCCATAATTTTAATATTTGGAAAGTTTTCAGATTATCTAATAATTTATCTCTCTGTTCTTACTCATATATTTAATGATTTAAAAATAAGCAAACGAACAGCTCCTGCTCTGGGCATTGTTACATAATTGAAAAATTCTTAATCTGAAAGCTTGCTTCAAATCCATATAATATAAAACCACATAAACCATTTAATAATTAGAGACTAGCAGATAAAGTCCAACTTGAAGTTTGTGGAGCTACACCCACTTGGATTAAAAAACGGAGGAATCTTTGGCTAGATCCTTGTCTTGCCGCCAGTTTTCTCCCTTGATGCCCAAAAAAACCTTAATAACTCTTCTAAATAACAAATCTTCTTGTAGTACTGATGGGAGGAGGTAAGCTACAGCTCAGGGTGATTACCTGCTAGGACTCCTTCTTATAAACTTGATGAAATTTCAACTGAAGTACCTGCTCTGATCTCAACCTCACCAAATGGATAAAATGTTTTCCTGGATGGTTAAGTAAAGTACAATGTAGATTTTTAAACTATTTTGATAGATAATAACCTGCAAGTTTTAAGATCAATCCTTGAGATTCTTGGATTGGTGAATATAAAAATGCCTTTAATATTCCCATCAACAGTGTCATAAAATAGATATGTGATCCAACTGGTATATATAAATTTACTCAACTAATTGTGATTGTGGGCTGCTTATTACTGGAGATACTGGATAAGAGACAACAAAACATGTCGTACTTCTTAAAAAAGAAAGTATTAAGTTGATAGCACTCTCAAGAAAAAAACCCACGATTTTATGTGTGTTTTCATTATTTGAGGAATGCTTGGCTCTATTATTTTTGTAACTCTTCTTAAAATAGTTTTTTGCCTCTCTTAGCCTCATGTTTATGGGTCTAAAAAACCCCAGCTTCTTCAGCTTGTCAGTCATGACCCCATGGACCCTTCCTGGACTTGGGTTTCTCCACCTGCCTCTTGAACTGGGGAATCTGATACGGGATGCAGTATTGCAGCTATTGCCTAATCAATGCTTCATATAGGGGAAGAATAACTTCTGTTGTCCTGCTTGCCATGCTGCTCCAAATGTAGCTGTATCCAATTTGCTAATTAACAGTGAAAAAATTTCCTTAAATTTCACTTGGCATCTACCACAGCAGAGCTGTTACAAGGCCAGTCAGTTCCTAATGTCTACTGATGCCTGGGGTTATCCTTCCCCTAGAAAAGCTCTATAACTCTTTTTCTTGAACTTAGCATTACCAGTTCTGATTTTCCTCAAGGTCCTTCTTGATTAAAGCTCTACTTCTTGATGTGTCAAATGCTGACAGGTTGGTTATGCCTAGAAGATTGCTGAGAATGCATTTGGTTTCAACATCCGGGCCTTTGGTGAGGATATTGAACATATTCAGCTTTTGGTACAGGCTACCAGTTGGATGACAAACTAGTGTTTGCTGTGAGCATTACCCTCTGAGCTGGCTGACCCAGTAATTTTCAGTCTACCCTACAGACCATTTGATTACATCCAGCAGTCTCCCCACATCTGCATTTCAGGTCAGTTCATCACAGAAAGCAATCATGAGTTTCATCAAGCATTAACTGCCCTTTGTGATTCCACACTGATTGTGGCTGATTACCTTTCTGTTCTCTGCATGTTTGG